TGCACTCTTAGACCCGAGAAGGTCTGGGACCTCTCCTGAGGTCCACCATCACAGGCACCTAGCAGGTACCTTGCTCCCAGCTGGAGCAAGGGGGTAAAGGCACCTGCTTGAGGTCCTGTGCGTTAGATCCTCCCCAAGGAGAGCTCTGAGGCGAGCAACACGGGGGCAGCACTGAGGGCCCCAGGCAGTGCCGGCACTGGAGGGCACCCAGAACCCACTGTCATGTGGCAGGGCCAGTAACACCACCAGCACCAAGTAGGAAGCAAAGAGGCAGGGATGGCCATGGGGATGGCAGCAGGGAACAGTGTGGCATACCAGTTCAGGGTCAGCCCAAGGCTGCCGAGAGCAGCTCTGCAATCAATACAGCCATCCTGCTTCCTCTCACACGCCACCAGCGTGACCGGAGGGATCTATAACCAGGAAACTTGGTAAGAATAAGGTTTAAGCTCTGCCTTCTGTAATCAGAGAGTTTTCAGGACATTTTTGGGAGTGCCGCAGTGTTCCCCGCTCCATTCATCTCAGCCGCAAGGCTACTTCGAAACAGGGAGGCTTCTCCCTTCAGCCGCCGGCAGCGCTGAGCCGAGCCAGGCTGGCACAGAGGCCCCCAGGCAGGTCCAGGCTGCAGCAGCATCCTCGTGCAGATGCCTTCACTGTGCCCCGGTGGAGACCTCCGCTGTGCTCCCACGCAGCCTCTGCTGCTCATGACCGGTCAGGAGGCTGTCCCACTGCAAGCCATGCTTCTCTTCCCCATCACTCAGACCCAGTGCAGCCGCGACCGTGGCTGCACCACTCTCCAGGCCAGGCACGCACCCCACACATGCCCTGGGGACGGTGACTTTGCCTGCCAGCCTGGTAGCTGGCTTGCAATGCTTGCTCGCATGTTTCTTTGCAGGGCTGAGAGCACAGGAGGGCCTGGACTTCTCAGTTTGGTCAGGATCTGACATGGAAGGCCCAGTGCAACATAAATATTTACACAGAGCATCATCGCCTGCCCTCTGTAGCCTGGTGAACAGGACACTGCCAGCGTGCCTGGGTAGCTGAATTGCTGCAGGGGACAATAGGATTTTTAATTAAGGTTGTAACTCTGCAGAAGCACTCCTTGCATGGCAAGCCTTTTGAATGACACAAACTTCAAAAGAAGATTTTAATCTTTCCATCAAAATCATTCTCGCTGAAGCAGGAGCTCCCGGTATTGGCCATGGTGCGGATGCTGTGCAGGCAGACACATGAGCAGGCATATGCCAGTGCTGGGAAAAGGCTCTGCCTGCAGGCCAGCCTGCAAGCGTCAACCTGGCAGGAGTGCTGCCACGGAAAGCCCACGAGCATCTACGAGCCGAGTGCATAGCACCAGTGTCCCCAGCAAGGCTGGCAGTGGGGGCAGCCTCTTGTGGGACGAGCTGTGCCTGCGACGCCATCCACAGAGGTGTTGACCGTACCCAGTGTCGCACATCGGGTCCAAAAGCCACAAGAAGGACAACACGCCTGACCCACGGACAGAGTGCCGCTTCCCCCACTGCGGCTGGAGAGAAGCAAACCTGACGCTGACAGCCTCGGACCTCAGACCGACTCCTGCACCCGCCGTGGGCTCCTGCAACCTCCCCCTCCGCACCCAGGACCCCCTACCAGACACCGCCCAGTGGGGCACAGCAGAGAGGTGGATCTGCAGGGCGATCCATGTACAGCTT